TCCAAATTGTCCTGATACACCAGGATTTTCAGAAGTGGGGTGTTTTTTTTTTCTTCAGTCTGTGTAACTGGTTTGTTTGGTTCAGTTGCTCAAAAGGAAAATGTAAAAAGGCACAGTCCAGATCATACTTACAAACTGATAGAAAACATCAATTTAATTCCTTTTCATATATTGCCCAGTAGGAATCAAGGAAAATAGGAAATATTTCTATCAAATTAAGGATGTACAATTAGAATACCAAAAATTTATGTGAATTTGGGTTGAATTTATAAATTGGGGAGGGGGGGGCAGGCGAGAAGAAAACTTTTATAAGAGATTCCTAAAATTGTAAACACACAGGTGAAACAGTGTCCCAGGAGGGGCAAAGGATAAATCACTCACGCTGGCTGCCTGGCTGTGGGAAATCTGAGTTATTTCTCCCCTCTGCCTCAGGAAATTTAAATCTGCTTTTCCTACTTGCTATTTCATATCTTAATTACTAGATTAGACGGTACTTTAGAGTGATACATGTGTATTATCTGGCCTTGATACTATTTTATGTAAACAAACATTTGCTAGTATTCGTCGGAATTATAGCTTTCTTATCTCTTGAACAAATACCACGACCCCTACAAATAGTATTGGTTTCTCACTGTCTTTTGCTTGCTTTCAGTGAAAGTGAAAAACAGGGAAAGAATCACAGGAAAAAGTCATATTTTTTTTAAAAAAAAAGGTTTTTACTTAAAGATAGGCAAATAGATTTATTTTAACATGAGAGTTTGTCACAAATCATGTGTTTAATAGGTAGTATTTCCTTACGATATTTTCAATTTGGATCTTGGATAAGGACAGAAATATAGTAAATTGCCAGGAATTCTATTTGCAAACCACCTTATTTTGGTAGCTGTGATAATATTTCATTTCCTTGAGGTCTGTTTTGTACAGCACACTATCCAACTAGAATTTCTTAAGCTTTTGGTGAAAACTACTCATCATTAAGGTATTTTCCACTGGACTTCAAAATTCAAATATGTGTTTTACCAAACCTAAGTAAACACCACTAAATTAAACAAATTCTCTACGCCAGCTGGAAAAGCGATGCTAAGCTTTCATAATTTTTTTTTCCCTTTAAACGGTTTTTACTGTCCCTGAAACCTAAATTGCATTAACAGAGTAGGTATTTGATCAAACTGCATTATGGACAGAGTTCTATTGTTCTTTGCTTTTTTCCTGTTTGTAACCAGCAAATCCCACTATTCAAACTGTTGTGCGAAGTTGTTTATGTCTCATGTTGGCATAATGACAATTAAACACATCACAGGCATGTACAAGCCAGAGCTTTGGAGTCTTGAAACAATAGTGGTCTTCTGACTGCCAAAGTCGTCCTGCTCCCTAGAAACCTCGCTTGCTAAGCCGTGATTTCAAGAGTGATTTAGTTTTTGAGCTGTTACAACAGAAGAGTTGATTTGTCCACTACAGAGAAAGAACAGCCCCAAAATACATTTCTATTTAATAAAGAATTCTTTGTGGTTTTGTGTTTAAATGTTGTTTTGCTTTCTGTATTGTTACTACAGTCCAGCATATAGGTGGACTGGATACATCAGAGAAAGGGCCCAGACAAAACATTAATAGAAATGGCAGTAACATGTAGCTGTTTAAATTATCAACATCTTTGCTGGTTGTGGAAGAATGGCCATGTGGCTATGGTAAATGGCTAGAGCCTAGGACACTATAATTCTCTTGTTTGTTCTTCACCTGACTTGTTACGTATGACATAGTCATTGCTTTTTTCTGTTGACCAGTTTTGCAAAATTGCGTTTTAATGTCGCTGAAGTGCCAGAGGCTAATGTGAAATATGCCTGATCTTTAGATTAAAAACGGCAGAAAATGCAAAATGGGAATGATTTTATTATTACAAAATCATCTTAAAATACATTAAAAATGAAGTATCTGAAAACCAGTATTCTGACATATTCCATTTTCTGTTCGCATGGAGCTTAACTCTTAGAGGTATTGTTCTTTGTTGCTCTGTGTGTGTATGAAGTCATAGCTTGGATGGATTAAAAAGGTGTGCAGCGAGAGGAGGAGAGAGAAAGTGTGTAACTCGATGATCCCAAGGGTCTTTTCCAACCCAAATGATTCTGTGATCCTGTGTATGTGTATTTGCCGAGTTTATGAAACGCTGAAGACACAAAGCAAAATGACAGTATAAAATCATTTTGGTAGAATGTGGTTTCTCTCCTAAGCTTTTTGTTTTGTTTTGCTTTATTTTACAGTTTGCCCAGCTGGTGTCTGTCTACAAAACTTTGGGTCCAGAGAAGTTCCCTTTAATTGAGCAAACGTTCTATCCAAATCACAAGGAAATGGTACGTGCAAATACCAATACTAAATTTGTTTACTCTCTCTGTAAAACAGGAACTGTAAACACACGATTCATTTTCCCATATACTGTCTATTTTAAAAGCCTTTTTGGAAGCTTTCAGAGGGATGAGACTGGGTGACCACTTGAAAGCATTGTGATGGTTAACTGGAAGATTTTCAGATGTGAAGGTAGTAATTTTTCAGCTAGCCAGCTTCAGATCTTGAAGAGATTAAATGCTTGTGAAGACACTGAACAACTATTAAAGTGCAAGAGTTACTTTTATGGTTTGTTTTCAGCCTAGTCCTTTATGACATGTTCAAAGTGTTTATTATCTTTGTAGATGATGCACAAAGCTATGTGCCTGTCAGTGTAGAACTTTGAACTCATCTAAAATCAGGGTCTTTATGAATTGTGATCTTCATGCACCTGAGCTGACTTTGATTCCCAGTCCTTTACAGACAGGAATGCATTCATAAAAATAACACTTCTGACCTTTACTCATGACCTGTCTTATGCTACAGACATGTTTTTCTTACTTTTCTATAGTTTCTAAACAGAAATTCTTTCCTGAGTATATTTTTCCAGAGGAAATACTTTCAGCACTGAGAGAAACTGGAGGGGAGGCTATTTGCTGATTGAATAGACTAGCAGAGAAGCATCAATTATTTTTAGAAAATAGTCCAGTCAGCATATGTCACACAGCTGTGATCCAAGTACCATTGCAAGGTTGTGATAAATACATTAGTTAGCTGTTTATGTAAGGTCCCCAAGCTGTAATTGCTGTGTGTCTGTCTTGAGACTCTGGCTAGCGCTTCGTTATCATAGGTGGCATCTAAGATAAGCATCAGTGACAGCAGTTGACTAAGATTTCTTCTGAAGTCTTCTTTCTCCCACATCTGTCTCATCTTTTGGTAATAAACACAGCATGGTGCAGTTCTGCTCTATTTTTTGATGTCTTACAAGAGTGGCAGGATGGCTCTTCATACTGCTTTCCCATTTCTCTCTGGTCTCTTTGGACTATTAACTCACAGATGTTTCCACTTCTCTTGTCACATATGAGACTTCTGAAAAGAGCTTTCACCACAGTACGTATTTAGTAAATTTGCTCACAGAAGTTTTGTAGAGCCAAAGGAGAATGGTACTGATCTGGAGTAGAGAGCTAAATATTGTCCCAGACAGTCGATTCTTTTCAAAATGGAAGGGGGAAGGGGGTTTTGTTGTTGGATTTGTAAGGAAAATATACAACTTTATAAATAATTTACTTTTTTTTATTCAAAGGAAGTGGTTTATGCCTTATGGATTCATTCATAACAGGTGGAGAGGCAGAACCACATCTTCTATTTTGCAAGATGCTTTTTAAAATAATAATAAGTGTTATATATCTTTATTTTCATGAGAATGTCCAAGATTAAAGATGACTTATAATTTCCTGCATACAATTTATTGTTCGTTCTTCATTATTTGATCAGCTATTATTCAGGCTCCCCAGGGAAGTGGTCACGGCACCAAGCCTGTCAAGAGTCCAAGGAGCATCTGGACGATGCTCTTAGTCATATGGTTTAGTTTAGGCAGTTCTGCAAGGAGCAGGGAGTTGGACTCGGTGATCCTTATGGATCCAACTTGAGTTATTCTATGATTTTATTGAAAAAGCAGTCCTTTTTAATGCATTGCTAAATTGCAGTACATAGAAACAAAGAAAATATCCTATAATTCTGGGACAAGAATCAATGTGTTAGCTTTTAAGTTTTGCATAGTATGACCCTGTTGATGGTTTACCAGTTCAATTGCAAACTGCTGTCTTTAACAACTGATTGTATTCAAATTCACTAAGAGAACACAAGCAAGATAATGTGTATATGTACCTATAAGATATATTTTACTTAAAACTGTAACAACTAATTGAGTGGGGGTTTTCCCCCTTTGTTCCTCTACATTGCTAATTAATGTCTGAACTGATGTTACTTGTCTTTTGTTTGAACTTTTGAATGTTAATGTTCTCCACAGCTGAGTAATTTTTTTTACATATTTCTACATAATGAATGTTAATCTAGAGAAAATGAATGTATTTTGATATTGCATTGCCATACATGGTTTAAAGGTTGCTGTAATAACTGATCGTGATGAAATTCATTTGTTTGTTTTCTCCTTCTGAAGAAATTATTTGGGGCTTTGTGGCTTGAAAAATAATCAGGCAACATGATACAAGATAACATTTTATTCAAATTTCTAGAATAGATTTTAAAATTATCTGGATACCAGCATCTTCTAGTTGATTAACTGAAATCATATTGTGCTATTTAAATTTTCTTGGGTTTTAAACACTGTTTATTAATAGTTGGCCTTATTTGCATTTACTTTTAGAGAATTTGGTATTTACAGTTCAAAATATTTTTTTTAGTTCCTCTTGTGTTTGCTCCTTCCCTTCTTTTTCTCCAAATTGTAACCTAGACCTCTCTCCCTCCCCTCCACTGCAAACCAGCTGCAGGGGGGTTGTAGGGGGAGAGCAGAGGAAAACTCCAAATCTCTGAATTGAGTTTTCAGCTGAGCATGCCAGAGGTACAGTTGTGCTTCTCTTTCTTTTGCTTCTTTCATACTCTGGTGATCATTTGTACTGAGTCTTTAGGCAGCAATAAAAGGTAAATAAACAAAGATGCCATTCTTTTGTGTAAAAATGGAGCTGCTTTAATGAAACACTTTTTGAAACAGAAACATTCATCTCAAACTGATTAAAACTATACAAAATGCTGTAAGGCTTTTTGAACTCATTGCTAGTTGAGTCATATCTACAGCCTTTCCCTCAGTAATTAGTTCCCTTTCTTTCACTACATTCCCACTTATGTTCTCTGTCATAAAAAAAAACAAAAACAAAAACAAAAAAAAAAACAACAAACAAACCACCAAACAGCTTTTTCAATGTAATTGTTGGACAATTTAATTAAAACTTAACTGGAACATTGAGAAAAAGCCAGCAATAATCATGGTGTAGTTTTTTCCACCATTCACCTGTACAGTCTTCTTCCTCCATTCTTTTCTCTACTCTTATCATGAGTCATATGAATAATTTTCAAATTAAAATGAAATGTTGTACCAGGCTATATTTATGCTCTAACTTTTCATATAGCACATACACAGTTTCAAAAAGTAAAAATAAAATGATGTAAAAATAATCTGCTGTTGATAATATATCAATGCCACTACAGTAAAAACCTTGATCGGAAAATAACATATTCAGAATGCCACATTGTAAATAAATCCTTTTATTAATCTTCATCAGTGTTGAATTGCAGGGAAAATAAAAACTCATTCTGAGAGGGTTTTTTGTAAAGCTTTTCTTGCCATATTTATTGATATGAGAAAAAAATAATCTTTGTACCATCCATTGTTGTAAGTTTGGCCAAATTTATGCTCAGACGGAAATCAAAGTGGATAGCTATTAATTTTGGAACACCTCATATAGGATATTTCATGGCAGGTTGAATATAAAATGTTTTTTAAACTAATTATGGCATACATTCATATTACAGTTTGTTCATAAATATCGAAGAAAACATTTATTTTTACAAGGTACATAGAGAAGTCAATCTGAGTTGGGCTAGTTAAGTTTAAGGTCTAGTTACTCTAAAACTGAGATAGAAAAAGAACTATGAGTTTAAAAAAGCAAAAATATCTGTTTGCCACGGAGCGCTATTCAAAAGACACCGTTACATCAAAATGGATTTGGAAACAAATGCTACACTGTACGTGTATTGAATATTAATTAGCCATGTGCTTGCTTCAGACTTTGTATGGTTATTAAGCTCTTGCAGGCTGTCAAAATTGTTTTGGTTTGACGTGAGGAAATAAGGCCTGTTTTTTAAGTCTGTCCGTAAATTGGTAATATAAATGTCCAGTGCTGAATAAATAGCACTCTCAATATTGTCTCTGCAAGTATCAGTTACTTTTTGGAAGAAATGTAGCCCTTTTATTTCATTTATGTAAGTAACCATAATAAGTCTATGGTCCAAATGAGTGTTAGGTGATTTTTTGTTTGTCTTTAGCAAAGCAGAAAATGAACTAGGCTTTATATTTGGCAGCACAAATACATGGTGTTTTAATTTAGGATTGTAAATTAAAATTGAGAAAAACTGATTTATATTAAATAAAAGGTGAAACACTGACAATTAAGGGGCAAATACTCCTCACAGGAACAACAGCATGCTTGCCTGTTGGCCTTGCACCATTTGCACTTCATTGGAATTGTATGTTTAGCCACAAAAAAAGTAAATAAGAATATTTATTCTCACAAGAGTGTTTTAAAACCTTCCCTTTAAATATGTATTCATGCAATTGTCAAACATTAGAAACATGAACAGAAGATGTCACAAATCATTTATACAGGGTTTTTTTGCAAGTGTATGTTATATATCCAATACAATATATCTTAGGGTGTGACAAGACACATGGGGCATGATGAATTTTATGTCCAAACTACTACTTCATTGAAATTAATGGAATTAGAGATTGCTATACACTTAGAGAAGTGCATATCTTTGCAAGTGTAAGTCCCAGAGGTTTTACAGGGACTCTATAGCAGACTAAAGGAACTATTTGCAAATCTGGACCCTTGAACCAATAGACAATAACAGCTCTAATTCTTAATGAGCCCATAGGCTGAAAATGTCACACTATGGTTAACAAGAATGACTGAAATGTTTGTGTTAAACCTTTAAATAGACCTGACCTAACCAAACATGAACAGAACTGTCTACATCTCTGCCTGTTGTTCTAAATTCTCATATGAGGAATACATGAGAGTAATTTCTAGCCACAACTGGAATGAAGTGAAAGAAATTCAGTGGAGAAAATGAGAATGAAATATGTCAGAAATGACAGCTATTACAGATTCATATCCTGCGTGACACTTCCCATCAAGTTTCTAGAACACAAGCAGTTGGGACAACTGTCTAAACTTTGGCATTTATGGAAATAATTTCTTAAGTTTTACCACTGTGAATTGAATTACTTTTGTAAACTTAAAGAGATGTGAGATTAGTTACTGTCTGCAGTAATCAATTCATAAAAGACACTAAAATACTAAAAGGCAAAATACATTGTAATGCTTCTCTAGTATAAGTTCATGAGTAACCAAATTCATTATGACAAGAGTATGATGGGTTTTCATGAATGAAAAAACATTAATGTAAATTTAACCTATTAGATACAGTCAAATATTTGAGAGCCTTTTAGACATCACTTGCTGTGTAAGTTATGCAATATCTATCACATATATTTTTACAGGAGTTTCTAAAGTCAAGGCTTTTAACAGTGCTGAAATACAATGACCTATTCATGTATTTAGAGAGGCATTACCAAGTACTACAGCTGCTGTGACGGTGGACATGATTTCTGTAAATATAAGCAGTTTTAGCCTGTCATTATTTGCCTTGGTTCCATAAAATGCTGAAGCATTAGAACATCTGGCTTTTCTTTCAACAACATATAGCTAGTCCATAGAAATACTGAATTAGGTAAGAGGATTTTGATTATCAAGGCTGGTTTTTAACTCAGTTATCAATGAAAGTTACAACTTTATCTGTAGATAAAGAAAGCTATGACATAAGTAACATACAAAATATGGAGCACGGATTGTTTTAATCACAGAAGTATTCAACTTGTTTCAACAGATAAGGAAATACAGGGATTTCTGAGCTTTTTTATAGCACATTGTTATAATACTTTACATATACACTGTACAATAATTCTTTTGTATCACAAGACTTTCATACAGAAAAAAATAGTTCTATAAAACATTTCGTAGTTCATCAGAAAGATTTGTAATAAACCATGGGGCTCTCTTAATTTGTAGTTAACAGAAATAGGGGACCAAATTTTGGCAATTCTTTTGATCTTGTACTTTCATATTGGTAAAAGGGAAACTTGTTATGCCTTAGAGGACACAGAGGAGCATTCTCAGCTTGAGCCTCTCTGTACAAAGCATAACTTTACAGAGTAGCTACCTCCAGGAGATTTGTTCCTCATCTTGCATGAGTGCCAATTCCACAGACTCGTACTTTAGCTGTACAGGACAATTTGTTTTTGTTTCTAAGCAACAGATACATTAGACGATGGCAGTTCAAAGCTGTGAGCGTGCAATGTTTGATGGAATTAGACTCCAAGGCTTTTAAGGAAGTGATCATTTTAAGGTTCACTGATATCTATAAACTCTTTCTCTGGGGGAGGACCACCTCGGTACCAGCTGCAAGTGCCATCACTTCTCTTGATACAGGCATAGTGCTTGGCTTGGTGCCCATATAGCTTTCTTTCTATCAGCCAGTCTGTCCAGAGGCACTCATTTGGTGTAGTGATGGAACAGGGCACCATGTAACAGGTAGTGATCTAAATGTGAAACAGTACATTAATTCAGTATATTGCAAATTTCATTAAAAAGGTATTTATTCTCAAATAATAGAACATGCACAGTGTATAAGCGAACAGTTGCCATCAGTGAAAACTGCTGCTGCCTGTAAGGTGGCCTTCACCATTAGACAGTGTTTCATTCTATACTTACTTTGCAGCCACAGCCCATTTGATATCTCTGATTAAGACTCTTCTTTTGAGACAAGGATAAATCATCCCATGGTTCAATGTAGTTGCATAAATGGATGAGGACTTTACCATCACTTAAAATTTGACCTACAGCATGGAAAATAGGAAAAATAAGGCAAGCAAATAAAACTGTTTTCTAGAAATAAATTGCAAGAATACCTGAGGTTTATAATCAATTGCACCAAGTTAGTCATATTTCACGCTTCTTTCAGTGAATGTAATTGTAACTGAGAGAACTATTCTACTGATTGAATGCTGAATAAATTAAAAATATTTAAGAAGCATATTTTTCAAAAGATGCTGATAATATGCCAGGGGGGGATGGATGCAACTGAGTAGTATGTTAAACTAAATTTCAGGACTCGGTAGAAAAATCTGTAATTACTTAGAACCCCAAATCTGCATATATGTAGGCATGTGTTTTCTCATTAAACATGTTTGCATTCCTGGGAAGAACAGTACTGTTGGTTTTAAACAAATAATAATGGCATACTTTGTATTTGCTCATTGCATAGTTACTGACCTTGACTTCCTTTGAAACTGCTTTAAGATTGTTGGATGAAGAATGGAAAACATGTAAGATCAAAGTATAATTACAGCTTTACACAATTAGTCCATTTCATTGTGTTTTGTATTATTTAGTATATAAATGTATTATTTTTTAACAAGGGCTGGCATATTTTTGCAAAGTCAGTGTAAGTAGTTACTTCTGGTTTATAGGTACCTTAGTTTTGTTACATTTTACCTGTCAAAAGATACTGTTTTTTGTTGTTAGCTTCCAGTTTCACTCCACAGAGTGACGAATCAAAAGGGGTATAGACATACTGGACATCCTTGAGCTTTTCAAATCCTTTAAACATCTGAAAATTATCAGAAACAGAAAGTCAGTGGTGGAAAACAAATGTGAGAAAACAGTTGCAAACAATAGCTGAAAAATATATGTTGCATCTCTAAAAAAGTCTCTAAAGTCTGAACTTGAGAGAATATACAAATAGATCCCTTCTCTACACTAAATGAAATGTGTCTGTTACTTTTAGAAGGAAACTGGGTCTTAATTTTTTTTAATTATAGGGTTTTAAATTTGCTTTTTCAGTGTTTTTAATGGATCTTTAAAGCTTTCTCTTCAAATCATGTTCTACTGGCATCTTCCGTTTAAGGAGTAATGCAGAGACAGCATTCATCTCAAAGTGCTGCTGCAATTTAAGATGCAAAAATTTTTCAATATATTAATATGTGAAATTTTATCTTGATTGGTGTAATGGTGTGTATCTTCAATGACATGAGAAATGCTCAGAAACTGAGTATTGTTCTTATAGTCAGTCATTAAAGCAAGCTGGTTTTCCACATCCAGAATTTTGCCCAGTGCAGCCTTCTCAAATAACTGTTGGAAAATGGGATCCAGCTCTTAGAATTTATAGCTTGCAGCACCAAAATGGACAAGCTCAGGATCAAAGCCTGAGCAGTGTTCAGATTGGCTGCTCCTTAACTAGCATTTCCAACTATGAAAATAATTCTTAAATAAGCCGTTAAAAGATCAAAACAAATTTAGTTGTGTCCAAATGTGAGAAGGAACCATAAGATGCTAATCAACCTCAGAGTGCCTGTCATCACCTAATATGACATAACTGAAACCCCAACACTTCGGGGGCCCCGTTGGGTGACATCATGCTGTGTGTTGACAGCTGTGGACAATCACAAGGCTCCCCAAAGGCAGGCTCTCCCAGTTGCAGCTGACGTCACTGGAAAATGTGTTTGTGTTACTCAAGTTCTCTCAGGAGATTTAAATAGTACAGGGCACTAGAAAATGCACTCTAATATGCTGATTTTTCTGAAGCCATCTTTATGGAATGAAAAAAGACAAAGTTGTTGTCATTGGGCTTCTGATCCAAAAATATTAGATGTTGATTTGGAATTCTTAGTAGAAAAAAACAAACTCACCAAAACAAAAACAAATCGGTATCCTGCACAAAGCAGCAGTGAAAATAATAGAAAGCTTACATAATGATGATGAAAATGTATCTTTATTTTAAAAAAAGTAGTCTGGTACATCATCTCAAGCGAAAAGTTCTCAGAAAGATGGCCAAACGAGGAAGCAGGAGCAGGCTGCACGCGTGTTGTGGAGAATCTGCCTGATTGCTGACCCAGCGCCTCGGGGCAGCCTGCGCCTCCCTCTCTCCTGCAAAGACCCGCTGGATTCCTGCCATCTTTGAACCTTGAACCCCCTGCTTCTGCTGTCCTTCCATCTGCCCCGTTCAGGCTGGGGGTACTAGGCACAGATGTCTAGTACATAGTAACTACGTGAACTCTGCAAGTATCCTCTGAGTTGAGTTCTCTCTACATTCAGAAGCCTTTGGTTGCAGTGTACAGTAGGGTACAGCTTCTCTTTTAATATCCCATCACTTGATCTAAGTTAACTTGAGGCATTATGCAGACAACACAAATTGATTTAACTATAAAAAAACCACATAAATATCCATGGCAACATATAATGGAGATCTAGTTAATATTTAAATTAGTTTAGTGTTTGTTTTGTTGGGGTTTTTTTTTTTAAATGATAGCCTGACCTATCTGAGGTTTTGACCTAGGTATTTGATAAAGCATTTCTTAAGATCTTCTGTTTAACTCAGTAAATCATATTTGATCCTCTCAATCATATTCTTTCATCTCCTAAAAAAAGTGTAGATATTGTCTCTGTAAAGGGATAAGATGGCTTGATTTGATTCTGCACTGTGAGATGGTCCATTTACATTTGAGTTCTGGTAGGACTTTGTTAGGATAGAAAATAGGGTGAGGGATTGGGTGAATAGAAAAAGTAACCCTGATACTAAAGTCTGTATCGACACCGTCCCTGTCCTGAGGTATATAGCCAAGACCAGTGCGTGGCTGTTGCTTTAGGATTTTAGAAGACTTTTCTTTAAGACTATCAGTATTACTTTCAGCATCTTGGGCATCTTCCTTCCCATTTCTTTTCTCTTCTTTATTCTCTTCAACATCTATCATGGCTTCTTTTCTTAGCTTTATATAGGGATTAATATCTAGCTTTAAAACTGCATGCATCACTGTAAAGTGTGAGTAACCTGTTTAGCTTAAGCACCTCCTCATATTCCCATTGTGAGGGGACCCCACCCTCTTGTAAAAGAAGTCTGATTCTTTCAGTGGGTTTCCATTCATGCAGCTTGTGTGGGAAATACTTAGCAATTTTGCTTACAACGGTTTAATTTGGTAAAATGTGTTGATTTCATGTATGACTAATATCTTGGGCCTTACTTCACTATTCTGATAATATAGGACAAAATGTCACAAAAGCTAATGGCATTGTTTTAATATTTAGCTGGCTTCTCAAAGTAAGTGTGATGAACAAGTCAATAACAATAATATTATTACGACAAATCGAATTGCATATAAATAATATATTTTCTTCTCTCTTTAGTATAATGCTGGAAATACTGCAATAAAAAAAAATAACAGTAGTTGAAAAAATGTATGGCTTTTCAACATGACAACCCATGTATATAACATGAGCAAACATCATAATTGGTTTTTTATTTCTGAAAATTAATGACAAAATCATATTTAATAGTTCTGTCCAAAACCACCAATGTTTTAATGCTAAGTCTAATGTACTGGATTTAAAATAACAGAAATATAATTTTTGTAACAGGAGTAGCATAAACCAGCCGCACTAATGTTAGATGTCAAACAACCCAGAGAGCAACATAACAGAGAAACAGCAGCATTTTGCTGAATTTACAGTTGCAGTGAAATGTAGCCATTCTGTGGTTCTGTGTTTCTTTTCCAAGAGGGAGGAAGAATTGCTGAGGGAAGTGTGAGTATGTGTATGTCTTAGAAAGTATTCACCAAAACTAATACTGAGTTGATAATCATGTTTGATCTTGACAGATCTTACAGCTCAAATACTAGAGTCTGTTCTTAGTTTCTGTATTATATAAAGTGAATGCTTAGCATATCCCCCCAATCCCGTAAATGTTTATGCACAGGGTTAGCCAGAATCACGTAACCCGTGCCATCTGACACTTCAAGGACTGTTCAGTTTATCATAATTCAGAGTCATCAAATTTATGGTATGAGAAATTAGTCTGTAAGCACTCAGTAGAAGAAAGACTGTAATAGTGAAAACAGAATATTCTACCATTTGACATACAGTGTTGATTTAGATTCTTTTAAATGTTGTCATCTGAGGGGAGAGGTAAGGAATTGTGTTATCAAGTTATTGCTCTGGTCGACCAAGTTCTCAGTTATTCGGAAAACCAAGATACACAAATGAGGTCACAGATCCACGAGGCTCAGTTTGAAAATCTCTGACAGGCTATTTCTGTGATGTTGTTAGTGAGTCTGCGAGTTGTCCCACTTCACTGAGGTGGCCATATCTGGCTGATTGCATACATCTTTATATTATTTTAATTTATTACTTTACACTTACCAAATCTTTCTAAGCATGAATTATGTAAAATTCCTCTCTCTTTACTTTTGCAACTTGATGCGGACTTTACAGTGTTATCCATAACACTTTCCTGTTAAAGTTCTGTTATTTTAAAAGTGAGTATTTCTCAGTAATTTTCCAGTATACCCAGTCCTGTTTAATTTTTACCTGTATGCCACCTCTGAATTATATGCTTAGAATATAACAGATTATATTATTCGTTGTCAGTTCTTGTGTGATTTACCAGGTACAGGCAAAGTTGCCTTTATGGATTTATTTCAGTGCCACACTGAGTTTACTAGCTGTCCCACAAAAGATTTATAGTTTACAGAAGCTGCTGTTCACTCGCCCACTCTGTGTTGTGGAGTTTCAAACAAAAATCCTTCTACTGGATTTGTTCGGGATGCTGAGCAGGGAGCTGGGTCCCAACGCAGCTGAGCAGCCTGTGTGCCAGGGTGAAAGCCTCAGCTCCTACCTCTCTCCTAACTCTCTTCTGGCCAGAAGTAAGAATTTGAAGGGTGGGACTATTATGACCCGTGTGTCTTTAGACTAAGCTTGTATGTAATGATGCAGAGCATCTTTTCTTAGAAAATAAATCTGTTTTGTCCAGTCCTAGCTGACTTGCCTTCTGAAACTTAGGGGAATTAAATAAAGATCTCTTACTGATGCCTGAGTTTTGAATAGGCCTCTACTTATGAAAATTTGGGAGAAACTCCAAAGCAGCTCCAATATATGAATGTATTTCAGAGATTTCAGTGGGCTGTTACAGAACAGGATTATAGACTGAAAAGAATAACACAGACTAGACAACTCATTCTTCTTTTTTTGTGATGAAGTATAAAATGATTTGCATTTCTCTAAAGTTACAGAAGTCTTGCAGAGTAGCAACAGAAAATAAGTGCTCATGGGAGGAAAGAGCTCTGGTATTTATATACTTATTTCTGTAAAGAAACATTTGAAAATATCCTTAATAGTTTAAGAAGACAGAAAATGGCAAATGGTGAAGAGTTTTGGCGTTTGTTTTAACAAGGTAAAAAGAATTGGCTAGTTGAAATTGCTATACAATCTTAACAGAAGTCATGTGTGATAACCATCCTTGTGAACGTTTTGAAGTATTCTTGTTTACCATCGATTTTTCTTAGTAAAGCTCCGTGAGCAATACCAATGAAGGCTTGAATTTTTTTTTGAAAGCACATATCCATTCATAATGATCTACTTGTGCTCTCAATAAATGTAACACAAGTCAATACAAATAATACAAAATAATACTCTATAAAAAATGAGAGATAAAACCATCTACAAAAGTTAAAACAAACAAATGAAAAACCCCACCAATGCACATTGACATGTTTTAATTGAAAGAGACTACCTATCTTTTGTGTATGCCAGAAACAGGTACATCATGATGTTTTTACATCAGTGAGAGTTTGATGGTGACTTGAATGGGATCAAGATATGTCATCTTAAAGTACATTAATGAGTATGTCTCCTTATTGGAGCTGAACAAATAATGGAAAAATCTGTGAGATCCTGAATGACTATTTCTGGGTGCTTCTACTTGGTGTTTGCTCTCCTAACAACATTCATACAAATGGATTTTTGTTTATATGAATATTAGGGAAGTTCTCCTGTTTCTGCAAATATCCCTATTCACTTACGAACAAAGATCCTTGCTATTCCATCTGGAAATACTTTCCTCTGTTTATAAAGTTTACATCATCCAGTCGAGAGTTGCAATATCATAATGCAACATAGGTGATCAAGTATCCACCAGAAACAGCAAATGTGTCAAACACCATTCATAGGTTGAAGTATGTTTTCATGAAGTATTCATAAAGCAATTGTGAGTAACAAAATATTTCATCAAAATATAGTTATTTAGCAAGCAGCTCACGAATGTCAGAACAGCTTCCTCTTTTTTTTTTCCATTTTTTTTATCCCTACTTTGATTTATTCTTTGTAGTTCACCTGGGTCTAACCATATAGGCAGCAGGAGCCTTTTCCAGCTTAAAGCATTTAGGGCTAAATTGTAGTCATATACATAGGTTATCAGCATTGAACTTCAAAATAGCTAAGTGATTCCATGTACCTTTATTTGTTTGATTTCATACCGGATCATTTTGTGGGTATCAAGAGGATCATCACTGGCAGGAACCACCTTTTCGCTGGATATTTTTGCTCTAATCACTGTAATAGAGAAAAAGATTTAAATGCAAATAAGCGTATGTCTAATTTTATAAGTGATAGTGAAAATTATATTGATAGATTTTAACATTTTAAACTTTAGGTAGAAGTAGAGTTTAAGGCTTGTTACTATAAGAACACTAGATTAAGTTTTCCTTCTGAAAAGAAAAATAAGTGGGCTGCCTGTGATATAAATCTGAATTTCTGTGAATCTGGAAATCTGAATTAAGTTACCATTCAGTTTTGACAAAAACAGTCCATCAAAATCTTTGAAATACTTGAATCCCATAAAATTTTATAAAATAATCATCATTATAAACAGTGGGCAGAGGAAAGGGAGACTTCTGTTAATGACCAAAGAGTTGTTGATCAGATAACAGACTTGAAGTTAACACTCTGAAAGACCCTGCCAGACAAGATTAAAGCATCAATTTTATGCATGGAAGAAGACAAGAAGAGCACGGTCTTCCATGCACTTTTCTGGAACTATAAATGTTAGGATTTTTCTTAACATGTCATTAGTTGTGTTAACCTGTATAAATTAATTACACCCTCTTTTGATGCATTTTATTTATTTCCTATCCTTTAAACAAGGCAAGTATTAGATTTTATGAAAGAAGAAATGCTTTCTTTTCCTATCTGTTTGAGTCATCTCTCTTGTATATGCTGTTTAAAATATACCAGGACTGTTAAGCACAGAGAACAACAGGATTCTAAGAATGTGGTATATGGCCAAAATATCTCCAGGGACTTCTGTCTCCCCAGAGTATTGAGAGTCCTGGTTTTGCTCAGTTCTGGATGGCCACTATTACAGCTCCTCTGCAGCTGTAGTGCTTGTTGGAACAAACAATCTGTATCTGCATGGAGAGATACTGGCAAAGGCCGGAGCAATCAACAATCAAGCCCCACTTCAACTGTACATCCGATTCACAACTGGGCAGAGATGCATCTGTGCAAGGACATCTGCATCTGCAGGTGGGATAGAGACCAGAAAATACTCTTCGGTATGACTGCAACTCTCTGACACCTTCTTTTTTTATTTTGTTTTTATTTTTCATTATGAAAGGAACCGTTCCATCAAAATTAGTATGAAAAAGACATGACAGAATAAGTTAGGTTAGAACGAGCCTCTGGAGGCCTAGTCCAACCTCTTGCTCAGCTTGAATCAGGATGCTCAGGGCTGTGTCCAGCTGAGTATCCCTGAGGAGGGAGATTCTGCAGCCTCCCTCAGCCCCTGTTCCAGGCTTTAACCACTCTTACAGTGAAATCCTCATACTTCCCATTCACTGAAAAAAATATCAAGCTAATGCAGAAGAATATCTTTGGGCATCAAAATCCTGCTTTTCCCCAAAAAACATTTCTTTGACAGATGGACCTCTAAACATCGTATCTAAAGAAGAGGAATAAGAAACCCAGGTTGTAATTAAACAGCCAGAGGTCAGTCCCATCTAATAATGGGCAATTCTCATTTCCTCACTTATTAGCAGAGCAAACTGTATGTAATAATCAACACAATGCAGATGCTTACAGCTTCAAAGCTTGAGTCCTCTATCTTTTGGCACAATGCTCCCTCCTCTCAAGCCATTTAAACTCTTTTAAAGGAGCATTTTAGACTTGGGTAGGATTGGAAGAAAAGAGTTCTTTTAAGTATGAACAGCAAATTCCTCATTTCAAATGGTAAATGGCAGCATCTCTTTAATCATCTGCAGATGTGTTATGTTCCCACAAATTAACAGTACTTCTTCAGTGCTTTGATCTAATTCCAGATTAAAAGTGTTGTGGATTGTGTGTACTATACTGATGGAAAGGTCAAATTAGAATCATGTTGTTTTGGTTTTCATTGCTTTCCTTTGCATCATTACTTCCTAAAAAAAGGTTTTCTCATTAAAGACTTCACTCAGTATAGAAGGTAAGGGGTGAGACAACAGGAGCTAGCTCCATTATTTTATTAATACCATAACATGGTTTATATGCAGGAAATATTTTCCTGCCTATTCATTGCAAATATTTGTGGTATAATTAAAACTCTTTTCCCCTTGTGTTTAATGTTGAAACATCACTCCTTTTCATTTTTTTATTAAATTCTGCTTGTTAGCATCTGAGAGGAACATTACAGATGATCAGTGATAGCTGAGAGGGTCCCCATGTAGTCATGCAAGGCCGAAAGTATAACATTTTGGGGTTTTTCATTAAGAGATCTTTTTCTGGATATGTAGAAGAAAATGAAAACTATTTTTATGTTGTGTGTGTTTCATTCATTTGTTTGTTTAAGAGAAAGCTTCCAGATGGAGATGGAAGACCAAATTGAGATTATTTTTTTTTTTTAATGACAAGAAAGTTTTACCATTACAGGATGTCTAAATTTTAGTTATTTGGCCTCTACTTTTCTATTCTCCTGAAACCAGATTCAAATACACACAGATTTTTTGGGGGCCTTTTAATCCTCCTTGGTTTTCTTTTTTCTGTGCTTTAATATTTTTTTTCAATCAGTGTCGTCTAGCTGTCTCCTAAAACCTCTTATTCATGTGGTTGCTTCTGTTTTTAACCACAAGCACTTCCTGATTTAGCATTCCTGGGCCTAGCCATCTCCCTCTCTTCACTCGTGGTTCAGAGGGTGGTTATAACTTAGGATTCCTCCTAGTCTGCACTTCTTTTCAAGAAATGGTTTCAAGTATAGCACGGCTGGCTTGGCTTCTCCTCTCTTTGACTGAGAACAACCTCTGGTTGTTTAGTGTAATAATGTCATTTTATCTGTCAGACAGTTATTGGTTCCTTATGAGGAATTTGCATGTATGAAATCCATACACATACCCTTCATATTCTAATGCCAGTAACGCAGGCTGCCTCCAATTCGTTCTGCATTAAAAATATAAACTGTTTTTCAAAAGACTCTAACATTTCAGTAGCAGGATGTAGCATTTCTGTGGAACTCGTATCTTCTAACTCGTGGTACTTTTATAAAATTTAAACTTTTATCCCCGCTTTGTAGCGGAAGGTTGTCTCAGGTGACTGAACTGAAAGGAAGGTGACGTGATCAGAGCCATGCAGGGCTCAGGTGGAGCCTCAGAACAGAAGTCATACCGGCAGTTACTGGCCTCCACGGCTACGCTGAGTCCATAGTGTCGAGTTGCCGCCTCTCTCAGCAACTGCTGCTTTGATTACTAGGGCCATAGCGTTCTGCAGTTACAGGAGGACGGTGTTCTATTTAAGTAAAGTTTTATTAAGTAAACCAGCTTGGCTATTGGACATTCATTATTAGAACTGTGTTAAGAATATTTTTATTCCTTCTTTCCTGAATAGTAATAAAAACCTCCCAACCATTTCTACATCAACAAAACATAATTTTGAGCTGGATAAGGTTCAGAACTCAGTATATAACATTGGATATATTTGTCTTTATACAGTCAGGGGAAAAGCATTGAGTTTTATACAATACAGAAATCTTTATATACAGTAAGGGTAGAAATTTAGGCATTAACTGAATCTTTCTTAAACCTGGGTGATTTATCTCTGAAATTAGCTGCACTAATTATTTACCTGTAAATAAACTGTACCATCACCTTGTATATTAGAGATTTTTATGGTCATGAGGAACTACTTATACTAAGGACTTTTTAAAAAGAAATTCACTGCCATTAGATTAATTTTACCACACTACAGTGACGTATGCAATGAAATATGACCAGCTTTTTCACAGGAGACACAAAGAACTGAGCAGTATACTAAAGGCTGCATGCCAAATCATAGATATAGATGGAATCAGAATAAAGTAAATCCTTGTGCTTCGTCCACTGAAATGCATATGTTCCCTAAAAGTTGTATCTCTGTAGACTTGGAGTTTTTTCTTAAGGCATTAATGAAGGCAAAACTGTTCAGTGAAAAATTACTCTCAATGTTAGTATTATTAAATAATATATTCTTTATGATACTCTTTTATATAGTATTATTGTACTTGCACAAGTTTTAAGATGATGCTGTTTAGCCTGTTTCCTTAACCTATTTGTCACAGTACTATTGTTTGAAGGTGGGCAACTTTACTCAACAAAAGTAATCCTTCAAAAAGGAAAACTAACTGGAGTTTACTCTCCCAATTAACTTTATTATTCCAAGAAATAGAGGTAAGGGAGAAGGTAAAAACTGATGAATAAAGGAGATATTTTTTCTCCAGTATCTGTTAAATATCAGTAACTATATAATGAAAAATACTTAAATAGGAAAATATTGAAAAATATTACTGGATGTAAGAACAAGATAACTGCTTATGTGCATTCTTATTTTAAATATATAAACCTAAATGTAATAAAATAAGTAAAAATAAAAATATTGCTAAGAAGAGTATAAATTTTAAAGATGGACAGGTAATAAGGCAGATACTTGAAGCTTTGAAAATCTATTTTGTCATCTGTTTGGGCTCTAAAAAACACTTAAGCTACATCCTGAACAAAGTTGTCAAGTGTGTTAAGATCACAGTACTATGAGAAATACAGATGACTATTAAACTGTTGTTTTACTTAAGTTGGGTTTAGTTCAGTTGGGGTTTTTTTTCTGAGGTTTGGTTTCTATCAGAAGAAAAATTTTTTACTCTTTTCTACAATTAAAAGGTTTTATAGATTATTATCATGATGGACGCATCCAGTTTGAAATATTATCTGCACTGGAGTATTAATTATATCAGTGATAAATTATGTAATACCTACGATTTGTAAATGAATGTATTTTGAGTTAGGCAGTTGCAGCTTAAAGGAAAGCTCCATAGTTAATTAACTTCCGTAAGAGGTAGATTAATGAATGGAAGGACAAGGTTGTCTAGACTGGGATACCTTAGCTGCTTTTTGGAAAAATAAGGACTAAATCCTGTCCCTTAGCCTTGCAATAGATTCTGAGGTCCAAAAACAAAGCCCTTCCCCTCTCCAATATTGAGAACGAAGAAGGGAGATCTCGAACGAAAAAGGAAGAGTATGTGCAGTTCTGCATGCAGAGGAAACCATAGTGCTGGGCTGTGC